CCAAAAGTCACACTATTCCTTTTTTTTCCCCCTTTTATAATTTCCCTATAACAACTTCCCTTTTATAATAATATATTTTCTCCAATTTTAATATCAGGTGTATCCAAATTAAGTAGAATGATTTTGAAGTATTTCTTTTTCTATTGTCTATAAGATTTGGCATGAACTGGTTTTTTTTGGAATAATCTTTTACTTTTACTTATAAGTATTAGTTGTCTATTCTTTTTTGAGACTTTGGAAAAAACAAAATAAGAAGAAGTTAACTGATCAAAGTATTCTATAACAGACATACTTCTATCTGACAATGGGAAAAGTTACTTTCTTTGCATTACTACTATTATTATTGCCTAATATTTCGTTGCATCAATCGTCTGATTTCTTTTCTGAATGTACTTATCTTCTTTCGTTCTTTATGAGGTTTTTGTTCTCAGTCCTTATGTTAAATATTATTATTGTCATTAAATTTAGCCTTTTAATTCTGTGAAGGCAAAAGTGGAAACCTAATTACACATGTATATGTAAGAAAAATAAATTAAAAAAAAAAAGTCACACTATTTCTTACCTCAATGCCTCTTTCTAAAAAGTTTTTACCTTGACATGGTAACTTCAACCAGCTCAAGACTCAGCCCAACCATTTTATGTGCCACTCACTTCTCCGATTCCTCTTTAACCTCACTGCATCTGACAGACACTCTTTCATGCCATATTACAGTTGTCTGTTTTACCGCACTAAACTTTGAACGCTGTGAAAGTAAAATACGGTATTATTCATTTTGGTGTCCCAACAAGGCCTACCCCACTTTCTGGCAATAGTAAATAATCAAAACTAACTGCAAAATGTTTATGCCTTTTTGCTTTTTCCTATAAACAAAACTAACACATAAATACAACAAAATATCTCTAGCAAACACAAAACAAAGCAGCCACTTAGGAAAAACAACAGAAACCAGGCAAGAAGGTAACTGACTTAAATAAATGGGACAGAAAAAGGAAAATTAAACACACGACGTCTCTTCAGATTAACTCCTGAAAGCACACTGTTTTCTGCTCTTTGTCTTGTATTTTTTCACTAACGTGTTTCACCTATTTAATCTTCAATGTTTATTCATATTTCCTAGAAAATAAATAAGTGGCAGGCAGAGGGAAAAAAAAGAAGAAAGCATTACTTACATCAGCTATTCTTCAAACACAGCCTAATCAGAACTCTTAAAATGCCGTAGTAGGATCTAACCAGCTTCAATTTCACAGTTGCCTCCCCAACAATTTAAGAATGAGATTATAGTGGATATTTTATAAACCAGTTGTCATATATTCTCTCTTACGTGATTCCAAGCAACTCTCCCAGGTTTTATGTCTTTTTCTCTTATGGTAAGAAATTATATAAATTCACTATTTACTCTATAAATATGTAATTATATTTTTACATTTAGGATGACATGAAATACTTTCCTCCCACTTACCTCCAACTGGTTCTTTAACAGAAACTTCCCCAGCTGAACTCTCTACAATGTGCCAGTTTTCCATGACCATAAATGAAGGAAATTAGAAAACACTCTTCCTAATATGGGGCTGCTAATATTCTTGATCTTTTCCTTTTTTTTTCTCCAGTGGCACCTACATTCAACTTTACCCACTGATGTAAAACAAACTAAGAATCCATTCAAGTCCATTTTTAATTTCAGAAATGTGTAAGAGAATCCCAGAAATAAAACTCTATATACTGTATTAAGTTAAAAGTCCACAATAGTGTTAATTCTCAATTAGCCTGCTACTGTGTATGAACATATGCATTAAGGTAGTAATATTCTGATAATATATGCCAAGTTTATAAACAAAAAACATTAAAAACATACAAATCCATGCCTTATCTAGTGGCATCTAGCACTAATCATAATCGTAATCATAACTTAGGCGTTTTGAAGAACAAGTGGAGAGAAAAGAGACTTGGAAGGCTGGTAAAAACTACCCTAGCAAGGTTTTTCTCCCTTCCAAATCATTAGCATTTCTGCTAGCCCTTCTCTTAGGAAGAGCAATTATCTTTCTTAGTAGGATCCACACTACCCCTTCTAACTCTCAGGCTTAGAGTACGCTGTCTTGCAACTGTGAGAATTATTCTTTTATCCAAATGGATTATTAGATTTATCTTCACCAAGCTGCTGGTGCATTAACTACAGAGGTCTAGCCCCAAGGAATAGCCCCTCTTTCCCTTCATTCTAAAAAATGAGTAAAAATGCTAGATCAACAATGGGGGGAAACAGACCACTATTCCCTACAGAAGCATTTCAACTAATACATCCAGAAGGAATGAGAGAAATAGAAAATTACCGCTAGAACACAATGGCAAAATCCACTAGCATTAACTGGCAAAGCTTAAGGAGAAACAGAATATCTGCACAGCCTCAGAGTACCTGCCACAAAATATGTATTAATTTCAAAAGGGAAAACAGGAATTTTACAATGGAGATACCTAGCAGGTATCACCTTAGCCAAGTAATCACAATTATCACCAATGATATTTATGACTGGAGAAGTACAGGGAGATCTTTTAAAAGTATAAAAAGGGATTTTATGACCACAGCAAGCATGCAACTTAAATTAAAAAGATGCTTTGGTGGATGCTAATGGAAAGATTAAACAATGTCTCTGGATGTTAATAAATTTCTGCAAACTAAAATACGAAGACATGTTAATATCATGTACCCTCTGATGACAGGTGTTGAGAAGGGTAATTCACACGCAGCAGTCTTCTCAATAATGTACCACACTAATCTAATCATGAACAAACAACAGACAAACCCAAATTGAGAGATAATTCCACAAAGTAACTGACCAGCGCTTTTCAAAAAGTGTCAGGGTCATGAAAGATAAGAAACTGTCACACACTGAAGTTTAAAGACAAAGGCTGACCAGATGCAATATGGGATCCAGGACTGGATCCTGGAACAGAATAAGGACATTAGTATAAGTACTGGCAATACATGAATAAAGCCTGCAGTTTCAATGCTAACTTCTTAGTTTTGATCATTGGTTATGAAAGACAAAGGGAAACAGGATGTAGGACTTACGGGGAATCTATACCGTACTGTCTTTGTAAATTCTCTAAGCCTAAAATTATTCCAAAAGAGTTTTTAGAGGATAAATTCCTGTTACCAAGCCTACTGGGTCTATTAACATATTTTTTAATTTACCCAGTTCTTTTTTTATACTGTCTCTCCTCCCATTATCAATTTATTCTGAGTTCCCATTCTTTTCTACTTTTCCCTAAAAAGGTTTCTAGTTCTTATTCTTTGGGACTTCTCAGAGTAGCCTACTTTCTTCCCAGCACAGAGCTACACTCTCCTTCCTGTCTGACCACAAACTGACCTAACTTAAAGGATGTCACCTAAATACCTTAATACGGTAACCTCTAGCAATTAACAATATATAAAGTGCTTTTGAATACATTTACATACACTAATTTTGACATGCATATTGTAAATGCTGTCCTTATTTTACAGTTGAGAAAATAAGACCAGAAAAATTTAGTGATCTGACACTTAGTAAATGTGAAAGCCTGACTCTCAATCCACTTCTTTTGTCATCTAGACCAAATCACCTTATTAAGTCTATATTTAAAAAAGATTAAATTTCCCTGACTTCAGGCAAGCAAATTACATCAAATACACCAGGACTTTCAAGAAAGTTCTAAATTTCACCGCTGTTCAAAATATCCTTCTTTAAAGCTAAAAATAAAAATTCTACAAAAACTCCATAATTCCATGAAAAATTTCTATGTTTACCCTATAACCTTTATGGGTTTTTTTTTTTTTTTTGGCCGTGGCTCGGTTTGAACCCACCACCTCCGGCATATGGAGCTAGGACCCTACTCCTTTGAGCCACAGGCACTGCCTACCTTTATAATTTTTTAAAAGCAGCCTTCAGTCATCTCATCTTCTGCCATCAACATTTCAGGCTGACACCTCTAGTTTCATACTAACGCTGCATCATGCTTTCAAAATACCTGCGAAGTCACTCTCACCTCCCGAATTATTTCTCAATATTTGCAAATCTGACCTATGGACAATCCTGGAGGGGTCCAGCCCTCCAAAATCTCTCAATATCTTTATTTCCTTCGCCCAAAAAAAAGAAAAAAAAAAAGTCGTGCAACTTATCCCTAATGCATGTGTCTGCTTAACGTTTAAGCAGGGCAACATAACAAAATAACATAACTTGAGACGTTGGAGAAATCAACTTTTGCCAGACTTAACTCCAACCAGCATTTGGGGACTCATAATGCCCAAAAGTTTTTTTTATGCTATCCGATTTCTCGATCAGTCAAGCGATGAAATTACTAAAAGCCCAAATAAGAGGGCTGAAATTAAAGATATAATAATAAATTATGGAAACAAGTCTGTAAGTCTGAACACTGAGAGAATATTTAACTTATTAATATTGCTATGTGCAAAGGCATTGAAAAGGACAAAAGGGCGCTGAGGTCTTTGAGAGGTGCAGGGTAACTGATTCAATTCTGTGACCTCCTACCCTCTCCCCTCAAGCACCTGCCATCTGTAGGAGCTAAAAAGAGTTGAACTGAACTGAAAGGCGCTGAAGCGACGGGATCTGCTCCAGCAAAGAACCCGTGGGAGAAATCTAGGGTCCTCAGGAAGTAACTTTAGGAAATGTCCAAACAGCTTTAAGCTGTTTAATTCAAACAGAACAGGTTGCCGCTCTGTTTAATCCTGCTAGGGGTACTGGGAACTAACCGGGATAGGCATTCTCTGAAAATGACAAATAGGGACACCGAGTACCCCCAAAGGTCTGGGGCAAAGAAAAGGGGGCGTCACTTGCCTCCCATTCCTGCAAGAAACGCTGGGCCTCGTCAGAACCAACGGCCTTATGTCTCCTAAATTCATCCTTCACGTACTGGTCCCCCAGGGCTTTGAGGTCCGGGGGCAGAACCCGGTGCAGCTGCAAGATGAGCTTATACAAGGCCCGGACTTGGGAGACGTGCCGCCCCGGCATTGCGGAGCGTGGATCATCGACTGCGCCTGCGCACAGGGACGGCGCGTCCCCGCCCCACCGAGCAGTCGCGGCCTGGTGAACCGGAAAGCTGGCGGAAGAGGGCGCGCGAGCTCGATCGGCTTCGGTCCTCTCCGAAATCAGGTCCTTCCGGATCGCCAAAGTCGCCAGCGGGCGGAAAACGGGCGGGTCCGCTCTGCGAGGGGGCGTGGCCTTCCTGAAGTCGGGTCTGCCAGTGGTCTTGGCTTCTGGGCTGCGTCCTCCAGGGCAAGCCCGCTAACCATAAGTCTGGTGTGCCTTGTTGGCACCTCTCGGTCCCAAGCCACGTTTTCCATTCATATTCGCCCGTTTCCTCCTATTAAAGGCTTGAGGTAGCTCTTTTCAAAATCCGACTCCCCCAGGAAGCCTTCTGTGGCTAATCCAATCCACTTGAGGCATCTTACATTCCTGCACTCTGTGTGAGGATATGAATGGGATTGATTTCGCAATCTACTAGCCCACTAACTTTGCACGATGCTATACTCCCTATTGGACCTTGACGACGTGGGCTTGTTCATGTAACGAACAAGTGAGCCCTGAGCCCGCGGACTTCCTTAGCCCAAATCAAGTGATGCTAAAGAATTACTGGGAAGCACTTTAAAAATGAATTGTTTTCAGGGCCAAGATCCTTAAAATTATTCGTCCGGTATGAAAACAAGGAAATCTACACAAAACACAACCTTTTCCAAAGCTTATACTGAGAATGTAACTGGTTTCCTAAGGTAGCCGCTCCTAGGATACTTTCTAATCACAATCTTGATCCTTCAGCAAAATCTGAAGGTTCCACCAACAAGATGTATGTAGAAATCAACCATTTCACACCACGTACTCTATCATAATCCCCTCTCTTTACTGGATATTGTGTTAGCTTCCTTGTCTGTATTTCTGCTTCTGGCCATGACCCACTTTGGTCATGATCCAACTTAATTTGTGACCTAAAGCCTCCATATTTGGCATTCCTGGGTAGGGAGCTGAAAGGTAAGAGTGAAGAAATATATTATTTGTAACAAGTAGCTGAGTCTCAGCCAATCACAGTAGATGGAGGAGGAAAACATGAAGAAAAAAATCCCCATAAAAATCATAGTAAGTTGAGCTTCAGCCAATCACAGACTAACTGATCAGGTCATGTCCATATACTATACTATATTATATTTGCATTAATTAAATTTACTCACAGTGGGTGGAGAAAGAGTTCTCAAAGTTTAGGATAGAAAAAAAAATACAAAGTTTATTTATTTTGCCAAGAAAGAAAGAGAGGAAGAGATTGAGAGAAAAAAAGAGAGAAAGAAAGAGGCTGTTTCAAGAAGGAAGGAAGAAAGTGTTAGGCACTTCAGCAAAAGTGGCCGGTGGTTTTAAAGGGCAAAAATGCCCCCTTTGTTATTCCCTGCTTCAGCAGACTGATAACAAAAACAGCTGTGAAGCTGCTGTGTTTGGCTTTCTTTGTTTCTCTCATAGCAGATTGATAAGAGAAATTAGTTCCTTCTTTCTTCTTGAAATTGGGAGGCATCTGGTATTCTCCCTGAGGAAGCAGGGGAAGTTGGTACTTCTGTCCACTCAGCAACTTTTTCAAGGCTGTTTAAACAATACTCAAGAAGACCTTTTCACAGGCAGTGATTTTTTTTTGCTGACAGTCCTTCCCATAATCTACCCTTCCCTCCCCTTTCCCCTTTCCCAGAGACTCCATTTTTCTTTGAAATGTGAAGTGACAAGCTCTGGCGAATGTTAAGGAAGATTTACACCTTCTTTTGCTGTTCAGCTTTTTTACATGCTAGGAAAACATCTCTGTAGGAGAGACATTCATATCATTGACCTTAGAGTCAGGGTTCATGGTACTCTAAGTGGCTGCCAATTAGAAACTTATTTTCTTGTTAGCCTGTTAGTTAGCAAGACCATTTTTCAAGATTATATTATATTGTTATGTTATATTATATGATATGATATATAATTTTATATTATATGGCAAATACCTCATCACATTTTACCCAAATAAGGCAAACAGCCAGCAGTGACCAATCACTCTCTCTCTATAGTGCACTTTTCTGCCTATAAATACAGCCTGTTCCAGTTGCTAGGTGGAGCTCTCTGAACCTCTTCTGGTTCTGAATGTGGCCTTATTATAAATCATTGTTTGCTCCTGTAAGCTCTGCTAAATTTAATTTGTCTAAACCTTTTATTTTAACATGCTAAGCTGTAAATCAGATCGTGTCATTCCTCTGCTCAGTAAACTCCAGGGATTTTCTTTTTTTGCAGTTTTTGGCTGGGGCCAGGTTCAAACCCACTACCTCTGGTATATGGGGCCAGCGCCCTACTCCTTGAGCCACAGGCACCACCCAATTCCAGGGATTTTCATCAGACTTTTCTCTCTACTTCCAAAAGCTCTAAATTTTCTCCTACAACTCTCTCCCTAGTTGGCCAGTTCTAACCATACTGGCCTTCTAGCTCTTAGCTCTTTAAAAAGCCCAGTTACACTCCTGAGGGTCTTGGCACCTTCTGTTCCCTCACCTTGACTATCCCCTCATATATCTTCTTGGCTAACACTTTTATTTCATTCCACCCATTTCTTTGGATTCCCTTCAGGTGAGATCCTCCGTGGTAACCCTACTGGAAACCCTACTTGAAATTACAGCATCACCAGGCCGAACTCTCTATGCCCCTCCTCTGCTTCATTTTCTCAGTAGCACTTATATAGCTTATTTATTTTCTTATTCTTGCCCCCCCCCAACTAGAATATATATTCCATGGAGGCAGAGATTTTGTGACTTGTTTACTGGTGTATCAGTGACCTGCATTAGAGCTGTCCTAAGCACTCGGTAAATATTTGTTGAATTAGTGTGTGATACTCATTAAGAGGCAGGAATGTGGGAATTTGAGTGATTCTCTCACAAACCTCAGACGTTGGTGCAAAGACTCTGAATGTCAAAGACAGACACGGGGCTTATTTTAGTATCCTTTATAGGGTCCACCACGGTGCCTTAGAAATAATAAGCACTCCAATATTTACTACCTTAAAAGGAGTATTCTTTTGGATTAATCTTTTTTTAATTTCTTTAAAAAAAATTTCTTTTAATGGATTTAATTTGGTATTATAACAAACCACATTAATGGCAAGGATTGAATGGCAGTGTGGTTATTTTATTTCAGGAAATTTTTTCTAACCATACTTCATCTGTTAATATTCCTGTAAATTGAAAATTAATTTCTTGTTCCAGTTCACTTTTTTTCTGGTTTCCTTTGGGGTTAAAGTACATGCATAATAAATACCTCTTTCAGAGCCAAAGCTGTTATAAAAATGTGGGAAAACATTCTGCCAGTGAATTCATAAAAAATAATAAAAAAAATTAATTGAGACTAAAGAGAGCAGAAAAGAGAGCATTGGAAATGCACAGAGCATTGGGAAACTCATGCTCAGAAATGGCAGATGATGGGGGAGAGAGAAGCCAAGACATAGTGTGTGGTTAGGCCTTGAGGAAAGGAATCAAGCAATAACAGTGAGAATAATAACAGATAACTTTTATTTATTTATTTATTTACAATAGGCTGGAAAGCGAGCTATGTTTTAAGGACAAAAATGTTTCTGTTTCCTTGACCTCCTAGTGTAGGCTGACCAGTTTTCCTCTTGCGATCAAAATAGCTATGAAATGAAAATAAAATCTGAGTTATATTCCTGGCTATGAATCCAGATCAGTATGCTTCATCTAGGCCTTTTCTTTATTCTTCTCCCATGTGTTTCTCTTCCTCTGTGTCATTCTGCAAGCCACTTAACCACTCTGTGCCTAGATACCTCGTGTGTCAGATCAGCTAGATTAGGTAATTCTCAGTACCTTTCAATTTCACTAATCTACAATTATGACTTCTTCCAGGGAATTATAACATGTTTTAGAAAGTGAAAGAAGACATGCATCTACCCTGAAATAATTGCTTTGAAAATGTTTTTAAGAAAGGGGAAATGCCTCAAAACTGTATGAGCAGCGCTTCACTTAAGTGTCCCAGAGCACACAAAATTTAATAACCACATTCGCCCACAGGGAAGACCAACATAGAAATTGCACTGTTTGGTGTGGTGCTTGTATGGACTGCTTCCCACACAAGCAGGAAGAGTACAGCCAGCTAGAGAAGGTTTTAGACAAATGGAGTTTTAAGGCCAGAAGAGATAGAGTGAAATGATGAATAAAGAATGAAAAATAAACTTAAAGAAAGAAAAATGGAACACCTACATGGAACATACTGAATTATTACTTTGTAGTCTACCCTAGTCTTTATATTAAAATGTGGAAAATAAATCTTTCTTGCAAATATGTTACATAATTTTTATTTATTTATTTGTTTTGTAGACTTGTCTCACTTTATCACCCTCGGTAGAGTGCTATGGCATCACAGAGCTCACAGCAACCTCTAACTCCTGGACTTAGGTGATTCTCTTGCCTCAGCCTCCTGAGTAGCTGGGACTACAGTCACCCACCACAATGCCCCGCTTTTTTTGGTTGCATTTTGGCTGGGGCAGGGTTTGAACCCGCCACCCTCGGTATCTGGGGCTGGCGCTCTACTCAGTGAGCCACAAGCGCCACCCATGTTAGATAATTTTTCACTACAACAGAAGTTAGAAAGGATGGGGGAGTGGAAGAGGCTGGTTTTGAAAGATTTGGAAACTAATTTACGTCATTATGTAAGGAAACAAATATGCAGATTTGGATTTCATCGCAATAAGTGGTTGAGTTTTTAATTTATGGTTCTTCAAATCTCAAGTTCGGAATTATTAGGAATAATTAAAAGTCTGGGACAAGATATGTCTTGGACCCAAACAACCTTCACGTTCTTAGTGACCTAGAGAGAGGAACAAATCTGAGTTAACCACGGTAACTACCTCTAGCCTCCCAAACAGCACCAGAAAGAGTTTCTTCTTTCCCATCTTTCTTTGGAGTCCTGAAGCTGGGCACATCCCTGTGTGGAGATGAAAAATGAAAGAAGGAAGAAATTTCCTTAGACAGTTTTATTCAATGTCTAAATATTTCCA